GGGTTAGGTATTTCAGAATCTAATTTCATATCCTAATAATGAGGATGTTATCTATAATGATATCATAACCCCTTTGTCACTGATGGAAGATAGGTGTGGATTTATCCTGCTTTGTGTGTATATACATGCATGTGTATATGTGTGCATATACATGTTTGTGTATGTGTGTGCACCTAGCGGCCAGAGGTTAATATAATAATATCTTTCTCTGTTGCTCTTCATGACATGGTCTCTCACCGAACCTGGAGCTCAACAATTGGCTAGACTGGCTGTCCAGTGAGCTCTGGGGATCTTCCTGTCTCTACCTCCTCAAGTGCTTGTCTTCCAGAGATGTGATACCATGCCCAGCTTTTCTGTGGGTGTTGGAGATCTCAACTCAGGTCATTATGTTTTCATGGCAAGGACTTTACTGAGCCATGCCCTCATCCTTGGCTTTCCTGCTTTATATACCCCTCAGGGGGACAGCTAGTCACTTGGTGACTTTTTAGGGACCTCCAGGTTATCTGTAATGGAGTTCCTAATTGGTCTAAGTAATAAAAACCTGAAGTCAGATATTGAGGAAAATGCTGAGAGATCAGAGAGAAAGAGCAAGCCACAGCCATACCTTACCTCCTTAGCATCTCAGCAAACAGGACAGTGATCTCCTGCTTCGCTCTGCTTATATCCTGTTTCCACCCAACTAGCTCACTTCCCATCTATCCGTACAGACCTCCAGACCTCTATGGTTAGCTAGTGGCAAGCTCCATTCTCTGACCTTCAGACGGGCTTTATTTGTACAAGCCGTATATCACCACAACCCCCACCCCTTTTTTTGTCTAAAATTTAAAAAGGTTGTAACTAATATAGGATAAACTATATACAATAAATACAATAAGTATATATAATATATATAGGCAGTAAGTACATTAATAATGTCTAGTTCATTAGCTTTAGACAAATTCAGGGAAAATTCTCCATTATCTATTCTTTCTTGATGAGTCCAAAGTCTTGTATCTAATTTACTTTCTATTCTAATTGGCATTATCAAATTACCTTTTAATATCTTTCAAACCTATTACATTTAACACATCTTTAGTAAGTTTCTTTGCTGATTCTGGTAAATAAGAAAACTATAACTATACTATCTAGTCTTCAGCTCCCTCAGAGACTCAAGAAGGAAATAATATTAACTGAGTAAACAGGAAGTGCAAGCAAGCGACTTCCAAAAAATGTGAGAAATGACAGAAACAGCTGGCTGCCTGGCTACATCAGTTCAGCTTTCTAAAATGGCGGTGGTATGTTTACTGCCAGCTCTGGGAGCTGTGCTCATCACTTTAGCTCTTATCTAGGCCACCGTAAAGCAGCTTGTAGCACACTGTCCATAAACCTTTTTTGTCTGAGTGAGTAAAAGCTAAATCTGTCATGCAGCATGCTCTGTGACTTAGAGAAGTGGCCTCTGTGTACAGAGGCGGGAAACCACCATGCTGTGTTCAAGTCCGACTGCCACAGCGTCTCTGCAACATGACCTGCATAGGACTGTGAGACTGGAAGCCCAGTATAGCTCCGCTTCTGTGCTATTCGTGATTTTGTGTGAAAAACAATTGTGTCTATGTGGAAATACACATTAATTACTACACACTAGTAATTACTGAAGGGACCAGCTTCCCTTTTTGCAGCCATAACGGCCAAAAACGTGCTTCTATGACCTTGTCCTAGACACTAGAAAGTCAGATGCCTGCCTCATGACAAGGAACCAATCAGAAGTTAGCTGGTGGCGCTATGCTTTACGACCCTGGGTGTGCTTTACGGACAAGCGCACAGCAATGACGCACAAAGTATAGCAACCACCCTGGGAGGGCCTATGGGCCATAACAACCAGTTGACCAATCAACACAGGGC